TGAAAATCTTATCAATACCCATCCCTAGTGGTGAGACAGGAGCAACTGACACAATGTAGTGAAGAAGAGTGGACCAAAACTCCCCCAAAACATTGTGAGACACTGATAAAGTTACGCAAAAAGCAATTACACCAAGTTATCACTCCCAAGGTGTTTTCAAAACTACTGATTCATGGGCTGTATGTGGTTTCACGTTGCTTATGCATCTTCTGTTAAATAAATAATCACAAAATGTAACATGTCATGCTGTTGTTCATCTCCGGTTGTATTTAAATAACTTTAGAAATATTAAAATAAATATTTAGAATGATTGCTTATCTGTAGCCCATATACATCGAACTGCAGGAGTAATGCGATGTTAGAAGATATACTAACAACACGTTTGTTTTTTAACATCCAAAATATAGTTAAATTTGATTGTTATTTACTGAGAAGTTACTGTTTTTAATCTAAGTCTAAATCTAATTTAAATAACAATTATTTATTCATCCAGGTGTTTGTTAAAGTTCTGGTGTACCTGATATGTAAATCTCTGAGTCCCTGGTCTGGTTTACCTCAGGCTGGTGAACTCTGCAGGTGACCCTGTGATCAAAAGACACATATTTAGGATTTATTCCTTTGCTATTCTAGAAAAAGAAGAAAGTGTGCACACAGAAAATATTCTGAAAACATATCCCACTTAGTTTAACTAAATGACCCAGATTGAGCCACTTTAAGTTTGAGTATTAATACTGTAATGAAACCTGTTGGTAGCAGTCTGCAGAGTGACTCTTCTTTTGACGGTGAAGCATCCCAAAGACTCTTTATCTCTCTTTGGGTCTTCAGCACTGATTTCATTTCCCTGAGCATCAAGAAATCTAATCGTAGGCTCAGGAAACCAACACCTGGCCTCACACTGCAGAGTCAGTCCACCTCCCACATCTGGAACAATTGAGAGTGTCGGCTCAGAAACAGCACCTGCAAAAATATTCATTATTCAGGCTGTTGTCTATGACCAACATTTCAGTTCAAATGTCCATAGAAAACTGTGAGAAACAATTAGGAAATCTCATCCGAGCTTTAAGATAGAGATACATGACTAAAGAATCTGCATTTGAACCCAAGAGAACCTTTGTCACAAATGATGTGGGTGAAAATGCCCTCTGTCTGCAGAAACGGTCCCTGCAGACAGTTACTGCTGCTTAGAATAAAGAACGAAATCTGTGAAATGCACTCCTCAGGTTGTTTAAAGAAACATAAACCAAAACGTGAGGTGCGTGCAGACTTACAAAGTGAAGAAAATTACTTTAGGGGGATTAAATGCAGCTCTAATCTTTGAGTGGACGTACCTACAAACAGCTCCACTCTTGCGATGACTGTTTTCGGGTTCCTAACAATCGCACACTGGTATTTTCCACTGTCATTTCGCTGCACGTTGGACATCACCATTGACAGGTTTCCATGGTGAAGTTTATCCCTGATGAGGTTTGTTCTGTACTGAAAGACTGGATTCTTCATCTCGAAGGTCTCACATCCATCTCGGTACAGGAAGGCAATATCTGGAGGTAAACCCTCCCTACTCCACTCTACTGTTGGTACATTGTCGCTAGCAGTGGTGCTGCAGGGCAGGAGGACAGTTTCACCTGCAGAGGCTACGATCTTTGGTACATTGTTTGCTGAGGCCGCTGTTCCTGTGAAGAGAAAAAGGCATAAAACAGTGATTAGGTCATGACTGTGTTTTGAAAAGAGTTCTCCTAACACATTTTATCTGTGTAGCAACAATATAGTTACTCATCACACAAAGTAAGCACATTTATAGGGTGCAGCTT